ATACGATAAATTGCTATGTGCCTACATTCTTGAATGCAATGAGTTTTAGTTGCTTGCTTTCAGACATATGCATTAGTTAAGGCTTAGCTAATAAATGATGAAAAACTATAGAAATAAATGATTTATAAAGCTGAAGTTAAACTCCACGCTGATATAAAAGGCACAAATGAGTACGGATCTGTTATATTTAACACATAATTAAATGTATTTTAAAGCAGAACTCCAGGTAAAAAATTCTTAACCCTTGCAGTTGGCTATCCTTGCGCTGCAAGGGTTAAGTGCTCGTTTCTATCTAGGTTTAAAAATAAAAAAGTGATACTCATCTGGACCTCTGCGACAGCTTGCTCTTAGACCGGTCCCTGGAGCCTTTCTCCCCTTCTTCTGCAGTGATCTAAGGTCCCTGAGACATCATGTTCTTTACACAGTGCATAGGGCATAAGGACACCAAGGCACAGACCATCACTGCAGCGGAGGAAGAGACAGGCAGGAGGTAGTGCTGTCACAGTCGGCCGGCTCAGAGGATCAGGTGAGTATAACTTTGTTATTTTTATACCCAGGCGCTGAACTCTTGCCGTATGGGGTAGTCCCACTGCAAGGGTTAAATTGTTTTTTTATTCAGAGTTGTTCTTTTAATGCAAGCAGTGTAAGTACCTGAATATAAGTAAGGATTCTGTATATAAATATTCACAGAGCGAAATCTCTGTGCTCCCCAGCTCCATCTAATGGCCATAATGTGTTCAGCATCTCATTCACTCTGCGCATGTTTTATAGATAGACCCTTTAATATCAGCCTCTTACAGTTTACTCTACAGGAGAGCTCAGAGAGGGGAAGGGAGAAGCAGCACAAGGAACAAGTCAGATGTGCTGCAGTGCAAGAAGCATACAAATAGGAGAAGAAAGCAGAGTGATAGAGAAATGAGCTCCTAAATGTGCTGCTTCTACTTTCACTGACTAGTAATAGGGAAGAGACCTATGAGTGACAGTGAAATTTTTCCTGGATATGGACTTTACATTTTTTTACTACATGGGCCTAAAAAAATGTCAAGTCTACGGGTTCACACTATTTCCTGTTCAGGCTCTGCTGACCATTTTTTCCAGCGCAGCCCGAACGCATGACAAGGCAATTTGCCTTGTTATGGGTGGGCACAGTTCACATTACTGTGTTCCAGTGGTGTGCACTTGCTGTACTTTTTTTTAAGTGCACTGCAGTGAGAAGCGGTACAACTGCATCACAGTATGGTGAGCCCATAGAACCTAATGAAATGTCACTTTTAATGAAGTTCTAAAAAAAACAACCCAGTGCGATACGGCTTGATCGAGTGCATCAGCACTGTCCGGGCACACGTACACCAGCTGCCGTGCGGTTGAGCGTGGCTGTTGGTGTGAGCACGCCCTAAGTGTTTTCAAATAACTAAAAGTAAAAATTGTAACTTTATACCCCTGTCAAAAAGCTGGTGGCTGTACATTCCTGTAAAAGTTTGAGCCATATCAGCTTAGTAACTAAGGCAAAACTATGTTCATTTTAAATACCTAGTTATGTGAAAGAGACATGATAAAACAGAATTTTATTCTTGCACATGTTTGAATTATCAAAGTGAACACAACTTTACTTTTTCACTAAGCTTAGTGAACCATAACTTTGCTAAGTGGAGAGTTTCTTCTGCTGTAAACCAACCTCCACTGACTCATATCAAGCATGCCCATATTTTGGTGTCTTATAACCAGATACCTCCATGCATGTTCCAGGTCAGTGACTTGGCAAGGAGTGAAAGAAGAATAAAGATGAAAGTCTTGGGGAATGTATTTTACACAACAGGTGGTTAGCAGTGGTAGCTTACATATTTCTGTCCTGACAAGATACCTTTTAAGGAATGGGATGTCTGTACAAAAAAGCAGCATCAAGGTTGTTTGAGCCGAACTCAACCATCTAGCTGTTTGTTTGGGTATGTTTAAGTGTCTTTGAGTTAAGCCAGGAGTAAAGATAAAGTGATTATGCAAATTATTTGGAGGTACAAGGTATTTTATGGTCAATCCATTGTTAAATGGCTTCTTTTTTTATCACTAAGCCTTAGCTACAAGGCATACAATTTGGGTTTGGGTCGACCATGAGTTGTTTGCAGTTCAGGAAAACAGCAAACGAATGTGTTCAATGCTATAGCAACCTACCAATCTTGTACTTCCTGGCCTTTGATCTGTAGTCAGTTGGCTTACAAGGGCCAAATAATAGGGCTTTTCTTATGTGCCTGCCCCTCCCTATAATTGTCAGGGTTCCCAGCAGCCTTTTGTCAGTGTGTTTGGAGAGTTGAAGCATATAGACAGAACTCAAAGCGTGTTTGCTAGGAGAGATTGTTGCTGTTGAAAAGTGCTAACCTGTGCTATATACAGTGCTATAACATATTTATTGTGCTACATTGTTGCAGTGAATAGCAGTGTGGTGGGCTACATAGTCTGTATACTACCCCCCCCCATGTTCACTGTTCCGTACTGCAATACATAACTGTGAATTGCAGTGTGTTGGGGGTTCCACAGTATTGTGTAACCACCTCTGTGCTCACAGTGCACAGAGCCAACAATCTACCTTTCTGTGTGTCCTCAACAAAGTGGGCTGCTGTTTAGCTGCTTTTTTTAATAGGGGTTATATTTTTCTTTTATTTCATGTTTTCATTTACTTCAGTTAGGTTAAAAAAAAGCAAAATATAATGTTGGGGTAAATGGGTCTATTTATAACCTATTGGCAGAGCCATTCACGCGGAGAATAAAAACATTCATTATTGTGTCTATTTGCAAAGAATGAATTTTCAGAAAGATTAGTAGGGCAAATGGCCCTTTGAATTGGTTGTAAACAAATCCTTTAGTGATTTAGGGTTGGGGTTTAGGGTTTAATGTTTTAGTATTGTGGTTGAGTGTTTTAGGTTTTATTTCTTTGAAGGATGTACTGTATTTATTATTAAATATAATTTTGCTAGGATCTTTTATGGGGTCTATTCACAAAGCTGCCGAAGGATCTAGCCGTAGCTTCGGCCGATCCTTCGGCTAGCTTCGGCGCAAGGACCGCTTCGGTTCAGTAGAACCGAAGGGGTGCTGTACGGGAAAATTTCCATTGAAAAGCATTGGTACATTACTACTGGCTATTTCAATTTGCAATAGCCAATAGTAAACTAGCATTGTACCCGCCCTCTGCTGCAGTTCCATCAGGTCCATCAATGGACCTGCTTTTCAATGGGAAAATTTCTTTTTTTTTTTAATATTCTGACATCGCTCCGTGTCAGAATGAAGAAAAAAAAAGACACATCAGTGTTTCTATCCTGGGTGGCCGGGAGCGGGAGGTTCCCAGAGCGCCTGGGAGAGTTTTTCTTTTCTTTTCTTTTTTTTGATGGCAGCAGAGCCGCCGGACAATAGGAAACTATTGGGCGGAGCAGAACAGCCGAGCCAAATGCCGCTCAGCGGCATTCGGCTATTCACTCACTGCTGTTCGGCATCTTTAAGAATAGGCCGAACAGCAGCGAGTAACCTGCCGGAGGTTCGGCTTAGCCGATCCAGATGTTGGATCGGCTGAGTCGAACTCCTTCTGCACTTCGGGTCGGCCGAACATGCTGAGCATGTTCAGCCGACCCGAAGCCACGCGAAGCAAGCCGATGTACGGCTGATTTCAGCCGATGTATGGCTGAAATCAGCCGTACCAGCCTGAAGTGAATAGCCGAACAGTGTTCGGCTCACTTCACTTCAGGTCGGTCATTCACTCGGCTGCCTACGGGAGCTTAGTGAATAGACCCGTATGTGCTTTTTTTTCTGGATCAACAGCATGAACTTGTTTCTGACACAGGCAGTAAGTTGGGACTTGTTTTATATTTACTTTTAAGAGGCATTGCAAAAAAAAAGTGAAAGAAATCTACTGTAATCCAGAAAATATTGCATCTATGCTAATTCAGAAATCTTAATCATTTTAAGGTAATTGCTGGTCAGTGTATATACCTCTGTTACATTGCTGGTTAATTAGAATACCTTAGTTACATTGCTGGTCAGTGTATATACCTCCGTTACATTACTGGTCAGTGTGAATACCTCAGTTACATTGCTGGTCAGTGTATATACTTCCGTTACATTGGCAGTCAGTGTAAGGCCTCCTAACTAATTCTCTCCTCGCTCTCTCTCCTGACTGTCTTTCGTTCTCTCTCCTGCCTGTCTCTCCTTGCTCTCCCTCTTGGCCATCTCTACTCTCTCTCAACTGGCTGTCTCTCCTCACACTGTCTCTCTTGGCCATCTCTCCTCACCCTCTCTCCTGGCTGTCCTCCTCTCTCCCCTGGCTGTCTTTCCTCGCTCTCTCTCTCCTGGCTGTCTTTCCTCGCTCTCTCTCTCCTGGCTGTCTCTCCTTGCTCTCTCTTGGCTGTCTCTCCTCGTTCTCTCCTGGCTGTCTCCCCTCGCTCTCTCCTGGCTGTCTCCCCTCGCTCTCTCCTGGCTGTCTCTCCTAGCTATCTCTCCTGGCTCTCTCTCTTTGCTCTCTCTCCTGTTTCTCCTCACTCTCCTGGCTGCCTCTCCTCTCTCTCTCTCTTCTGTATATTCTCCAAAAACAACTGCCACTTTGTGCTAGAGTGTTTGGGTTTCGATTGAAGAAAACCCTAACACACACACTACTCATGTAATAAACTCACTGTTTTCATAGTATGTCTACTCACTGCTTCTTACTACACATGCTAAAAGATCATACTGGTTATACTACATGTTTAACCCAGGAACTGCTTTTATAAACATGTACACACTGTGACATACTGCATGTGCACTACATTCACTGATCATAGAATATGGGTATACACTCAGGGTTAGGACAAAAGGGAGGGGGGCAAAAGGGGCAGCTGCGAGTGAATTATTTTTTGACTTAATGAAACCTATTTCATTGTATTTCTTGTCTCGAAAAAACACTGACTCGTGTGTAATAAACCGGGGTGGGAGATGGTAATTTGGTACAGTTTGGCATCAACTGGATGACATAAAGCTATGCTCACCTGTTCTTGAGTCTTAGTTTAGGTCCTTCTGGACATGCTGCTGAGTGGATGGATTGCTTCCCTGGTGCAGTTTCAAAGCTGCCAAGCTTCTGGTCATAACATTCAGCCCTCCCAATAAATATGCTTCTAAAAAGAAAAACAAGGCAAACATTACCCAAGACACCTTCTCAGTTTAGTAGATAGATTGCGGCTTATTTGATTAAATAGCATAGAGCAATATTTAATAGCAATCAATTTGATCAAACCTTTTATCAGTTTAAAACAAACAAAGCGATAAAATATGATTGCCGTAATAATAATAAAGACTATTACTGTGGATGTTAACACTCTTCATAGTGCTCTTTGGCGTAAAAAGAATATAAACACATCCATGTTGGTTGCCAAAAAATAACAGCTATATATAGTATATTTTAGTTGATAAAATGATTATTGGGAATTGGGGATTTTTTTGTAAATGTCTGAACAGTGAGAATGTCTAAAGGCTTCTCTGTAGTGGTATGTGTTCAACTTTGTATGACTGGGATAAAAGTGCCTATTTTAACTGGAACCTCAGGAAAACAACTAAATACACAGTTCACGTACTGTATATACAGTAAATCAACTGTTTTACCTGATTTTAACGGTTCAGCCAGATTTGTGATCCAGGCTCCCTGCCAGACAGCATGGTCATGTTGCTGACCTTACATTTCTATCATGCAGCTGAGCAATAGAGCTTGGTCACTAACTTTACACCAGCCTGTGACTGGATGATGAAGGAGAAGCAGTGCACTGATAAGGTCATCACTCTGCCTCCTTCACCGGTAAACATTTTCAAAATTACCTTTAGTCTTGCACAGATTTACAAGCTCCTTCCCTGTACTGCAATGCATAGCCTGATTTCACTGCACACTTTGAGCTTTTGGCAGTCTGCATTAGAAGCTGCAGCAAGTCAGATACAGCCCACCTCATTTACTGGGTGGAGGACATCCACCATCATCTAGCTTTCCTCCCCAGCCTGACTGTCCCTGGTCCGCCCCTTTCATTTAATAGATTTCAGTTCTTTCAGTCGTAGAGACTCAGCATCACATGTAAGTGCTAGCCTAGGTGGTCGGCATGCAAATACAGTCTGCCTAGTAATGGTCACTGCTCCAGACTGAAACCCACCTATCAAAGCATTTTGATATTTGCATAATTCCTCCCAAGAGCCAGCCCACTGCTTGCATCAGGGCTGATGGTTCTTGAGAGGTGTACTAAGACAGGACGTTGTGATGTTTTCAGAAAGCTATGTACAGCACCCTGCCGAATCTTCTCACCAGCCATAATCTGCCTGCATTGCATAGAGAGGCAAAGAGACTCAATAATGAATTCACTGAATCTAAAAAAATATACAGTATGTAATGAAAATGGAGGTTTTCCTAAAGGTTTTATTTAAAAACCCCATTAGTATGTTGAAGTTGGGGGAAGGAGGAACCCAGGAAGGCGAAATATATCAGCATAAACTTCAGCTTTAATTGTTTTGAATGAATACATGCCTTTTTTGGTGTTTTATAACTGTCTGGGCTTCTGCTTTAATATTATAGCTACACTTAGTTAAGACTCTGTTTGACATATTTGGTCTATAGTCATATTAATTAGCAATCCTGCTATGAGCTCAGCTTGCATATTTGAAAAGATTTAAATTCCATACATGACAGGAATAAAGTCATTTAAATCTCATGCAGGTGTCTAAAAGACATTTTTACTTAAATGTGCAGCCGAACAACATTTTTCAACTTAAAATTAGAAGAATGCAATTGATCAGTCAACAGCTTATGTATTTTGGCCCTTGAATGTCAACCAATGTGTACTCTGAAACATACCTCACATATCTGTAACTATACCAGGTCTGAGATTGCATGTATGGAAGCACAGTAATATTGTTGATATATTTACACAGAGAGCTAATTGTGGGTATATTATTAACATTTAAAAATATTTGCAGTCATTTGACAGTCATCCATAAGAAGGGCCATTTATCTATTGGTTGAACAGCCAATATTCAAAAGCTTTGCCATTTCTTATTTGGAAAAAGGAATAGTTGTTAGATGACTATGGGGCCCAAATGTAAAGTAGCGGTATGGCCTTACCACTGCTTAAAAAAAAACTGAGAGGCAAAGTCACATTTAAATGAATGAATGGGAAAAGGCTGGGAGGAGGAGAGGCCGGTCACTCTGCGTGTCAAAGTCATGTGATCAGCCTCTCCTCCAATCACAGAGTGATCTGCCTGGGTTTTGTGAGTACCTGAGGCCTTGTCTCTTACCTTGTGTTGCCCCACTGGCATGTGATCACAACACGTATGATTCTAGACACTGGTGGTGGGGCAGTCCTGCTGTAATGGGTGCCCCCAGCTCACAATCTACTAATTCTGCAATGCATATGAATGTGTGTGCATTCCCCCAAAACTTTTTCCCTGCTCGTCACTGGCTAGCACTTCTTAAACAAGCCTAAACCATACTTTTCTACCGTGTTAAACTAATCATGGAAAACAGATGGCCAAAACACTGGCATAGTTTGAATAACCAAGCTACTTTAAAATGAAAGTGTATCTAAACCAGGGCTCAAAATTTCAAGTCCTGAGCTACTAGCCAGGCCTTAAGAGTTACTCGCCACCAGTTGCACCCTAAAACAAAAATGTAATACATTGTAGCTTACTAGATCTTAGATGTGGCGGTGTAGTGGCTGCATTCCATTTTTCAGGTTTTCATTTTGTATTTAGTTTCCGTTCCTTCCCTTGATTTTAGTGATCTTGCCAGTAACAAACTTTCTGTCAAGGGTGGCCCTCATTTACTGTACTGTATCTGTGGTGGGGTAGGGTTGTCACCCTCCGGACAGGAAGTGTGTTAAGCCTACAGAACCCCTCCAGCTTTTGCCTTCCCCATAACATAGCGGGAGATGTTTAGTCATTCACAGAGGTGAATTAGATTAAGGGTAACCCTGTTTAAAGTGATATTAAATTCAAAAGGCATTTAAGCTATTTCAAATGCTGATTAAATCATTTACAATGGATGTTGCTCCCTGATATTGAAAAGTTTTAGTTTCCTGTAGAATCAGTCGGTCCTCTTAGTACTAGTCCTGCCATCCTGTTTTAGGGTGGCTCCTTTCCCTTGTAGAGTCCTTTGGAGCCACCTTTGGGTGTGTGTGTGCTAGTAAGCGGTGTGTGTCTCCATAAACACACAGGCACAGTTGGACAAGCCACTCCCCTGCTCCCAGCTCCTCTTTCCTCCTTCCTCCAAGCTAGTAGATGGATAGCTGCTGGAGACTGATCTATGATCTTGTACTGGACAGGAAGTTCAGGAAAGCCAAGCTGAGAGAGTTGGAGTCAACTGTTTGGAACCATGATCACTGTAAGTGTTTGGGCAAAAATGTAAAGAAATATTTTGCTGGGTTATTTATATTTGTTTGATCTGGATTTATTATACAAACAAAACTTTGAGAGTTTAATACTACTTTAAGATAACACTGCTAAGCGCACAAACAAATATAAACAAATATCAAACAAATATACAAAAACGCTTTTAAAACCATATATTTACCAGACCAAAAAGGCAGCAAATAAAATAAGTTAATTGTTAGTGTTTACATACCCTTTAATGTAGAAGACATTCTAATAAACTAGCAATATACAGTTGTTTGAATTTGTAGACAAAGCTAGCTAGATGTAAATCATGTTATCAATAAATAGTAATGTTTCAAAAAATGTTATTTCTCTATGATTTGTAGTTATATAAAAGTATATACATAGGATCAACCATCTGTGTTTCTCTCCCCTTATTTATTTTCTGACATCAATAGCTATCTGTATTTTAGAGAACTACAATTGAACCCAGCCATGTTTGCCTTTATAGAATTATATATTGAACACTAGGAAACCCTGACTTGCAGTAAGATTTAGTAAATCATGTCAGCTGTGCTATACGTGCTTTGGATATCAGTGGAGGCAGTTTCTGTATCAGCTGGAATGTTGTTTATTTCTGACATAAAGCAATGTCACTTTCCATGATCAAGAAGGATGTGGCCATAATAAAACAATTTATCAGCGTATACACTGCCCTTTAATGTACAGTGACTTTCTCCTTGGGCTATGTCATGTAACACAGCTGTAACTGTCAGCACAGTTATCAGTATGTCAGTTTTTTTGTTATTATCTATGTTATTGTACTACACCTTTGCTATATTTCTTACATGTGTTATCTTTGAGAACTATAGATCACATGTTGTAAAGATAGCCAAAATGCTTTGCAAAGTTCCAGCACATACCGATCTGATATGACATTACTGGAGATTCATTAATTACTGTACAAAATCATATTTTAAAATATGAGGCGAGGTTACATGGGATCTCTCTCTACTGGAGAGAGAGAGAAAGAAAGAGAGAATATATATACTGTATATATATTGTGGCAGTGTAAGCCAATGCCACGGTGTAGGATGGCGACTTTGGCACCCAGGACTCTCAGCCAGAGGGGCTGAGAGAGTCCAGAATGTAAAGCATGTTGTAAGGAAGAACCTAGCTTTTCAGGTCCGTCCAGGTTTTCCTATTTGTAGCTGGGATCTGGAGCTCTGGAGATTTCGTAGAGCTCTGGGTGGGATGAGATCTCCAGTCCTGGGGCCAGGTGTTGCCAATGACCAGCTTGGGCTGATCAGGTGGCTGAGAGCAGCCTCATTAGGAAGCCAGCCCAGTGCTCAGGGGAGTGTTGGAGTTGTGTGTGTGCAGGGAGCACACGGACACAGACCACCTCGGGTGCGTGCTGGACGCACACGGAACAGCCAGAGGTGGCTGGGAGCAGTCAGGAAGGTCGTTGATCCCAGGGACCTGTCGGACGCACTGCTGGGAGAGCAGAGCGAATGCCCACGAGGGGAGAGGTCAGGAAGGTCGGTGACCCTAGGACCTGCGGTACAGACTGCTAAGAGAGCAGAGTGAGGGCTAATGAGGGGTGAGCAGTGTGAGAGTCTTGAAGCTGTGGAAAGCTACAGAGCAATATAAAGGACTTCAACCACTGTGTGGTCATTTTTGCTATGTGCTTTGGGTCATTGTCATGTTGGAAGGTAAACCTTCTTCCTATTGACAACTTTCTGGCAGAGGGCAGCAGATTTTCCTCAAGAATATG